TCAATGGCCAGCTAACTTAGCAACTCAGCCATCCTATGTCCTCCAGACAGGAAAGGAACTACAACAACAACAAGATTACATTTGTATAGCGCCTTTCACGTTGGGAGGACGTCCCAAGGCGCTGGAAAGTGATACAGCATTTCAGACCTGAGCTGGGGTCGGGGCGGGGGAGAAGGGAGGGGAGGGGAAGGGGGTTGGCTGAGGGCATGGTCGAAGAGGAGAGTTTTGAGGCGGGACTTGAAGGAGGCTAAGGAGGGGGCGAGGCGGAGTGACTTGGGGATGGAATTTCAGAGGTTGGGGTCAGAGTGGCTGAAGGCTCTCTTGTCAATGGTAGGGCGGGTGGGTCGGGGACGTTACACCAATTGCAAGGATGATTATTATTATTATATTACTATTATTATTATTGGAGGAGCTTTCTCCATAGGAAGATTAGATTATTGCTGCCCGTGTTCTCCGGCACGTTCTATTCCCTCATATTCCCCCGCCATTACCTTCCTGGGGGAACTCTGGATTTCGAGTCGTTCAATCAGAGGCCTTTTTCTCTAGGAGTGATATCACTGGGATTACACCAGTCCATTAGTTCACTGACTAAAGTGCTGAGGCTGTTTTTTACTGAGGTCACTTTGCAACCCCATGATTCACTCATGCCTCTGATCCGATTCATACAGTAACGTCACAGCATCAAATGGTAGCCACGAATGAGCTCATCACCACTCAATCATACAACTCCGAGGGGAGATTCACATTTTAAATGGGATTTAAAAAGTAAAACCGATCAATAATTTAGGATGCTCCAAGATAGAAGAACGAGAGGGTAGAGGTTTAAGAGTTGCAAAGGGTATTTCAGGATAGACACCAAAAAGTTTTTTCTTTACCCAGAAGGTAATCAATCATCATAGTAATAATCCTTGCATTTAGTGTAGCGCCTTTTCGCGTCGGAAGGATTTGAACCCACAACCTTCTGACCAGAGTCATGAAGTCTGTGCATGTAGGTGACTCTGTTTAGAGAGTGTAGATGTGTGTGTATTTGAGTTTGTGTGTGTGAGTTTTTGTGTATGTACAGGTATGTGTGTCTATGGGTGTTGTGAAAATATGTATATGTATTTGTGTATGAGTTTAGTGTGAGTGTGTACGTGTGAGTGTGAGAGTGTAGGTATGAGTGTGTGAGTGTATGTGTGAGCGTGTACAAGTAAGTGTGAGAGTGTAGGTGTGAGTGTAGATATGAGTGCATCTGTAAGTGTGAGTGGTACATGTGTGAGAGTGTAGGTATGAGTGTAGGTGAGTGTGCGAGTGTATGTGTAAGTGTGAGTGTGTTTACATGTGAGTGTGAGGGTATGAGTGAGTGTGGGAGAGTACTTGGGAGTGTGTACGTGTCAGTGAGTGCGAAAGTGTAGGTGTGAGTGAGTACGAGAGTGGAGGTGAGTGTGAGCATGTACATGTGAATAAATGTGAGAGTGTACGTGTAAGCGTGAGTGTGTATGTGTGCGAGTGAGTGAGTGAGTGAGTGAGTGTAGGGAAGGGAAAGAGTTACATTTGGGAGACAGCATGATTTGAGATTCACACAAATGGTGTGTGTGAGGGGGTGTGAAGGGGTATTGTTGGGATGGGGTTGTGGGGGGGGAGAGGGGGGAGGTGGTTAGGGACAAACCACCCACGCTCCCTGGCCAGGCTGCTGAGTTTGTTGCAAATTAATCCCAAACAGCAGGAGGCTCTCTCCGATGGGAGCCAGAGACGGCAAAGAGCAAGCAGAGGTTCCAGTGATTTATTTTTAATGCGCAAATGCATTAAACTGAGACAGAGAGCATGTCAAACCCCGAACAGCGCACAGTGCAGCGTTCGGCAAGGCGACCTATTTAAAGGAAAACCGCTGTTAATTTTTAATATTTTGACAGCGGGCGCCTGGGAGAAGCGATGCTTTATGTAGAATTTTTTTTTTGTACGAGAGAATAAAAACTGGGCTGAATTCTGCGCTGGAGATTTCCACTGGATCGTCCTTTTGTAGGGGGTCAGCCGGGTGTTCGTGAAACACGTGGAACACCGAACGAATTGACTTCCAAGATCCTCGCTCTAGTGTTCAAATCCCTTCACTCCCTGACACCTCCCTCCCTCTCCGACCTCCTCACTCCCCCAAACCACCACCCGGTATTATCGGAGGTCGCGATTTAGGCCACTACTCTCCAAAACTCTGGAACACTCTCCCTCAATCCCTCCGCCTTGACCCCTCTCTTCCCTTTTTCAAGTCCTGCCTGAATACCTTCCACTTCGACCGTGCTTATGGCCACCCCCCCCCCCCCCACCCTCGCCGCCCCCACTGCTCGGAGTCAGGCTCCGCCACTGTTAAGTGCCCTGAGACGCTACCCTACGTGGAGGGCGCTATATAAATGCAAGTTGTTGTTGTTGCAGAGGGGAGAAAACAGGCCATATTTGTGATAGTAACAATAGTAATAATCCTTGCATTTGATAGAAACAACTACAGCACAACTTACACTTGTATAGCGCCCTCCACACAGGGTAGCGTCTCAGAGTGCATCAATTTAATAACGAACAAACGAGCAAATGGGTAGGGTGGGAGAAATTTTTTTGCGCCGGTAGAGTGGTTTGGATCAGTTCATTGAGATGCCTCAACACGCTACACAGAAATATACTGGAAAGTGAACTGACTGTGCATTTTGTGGGTGAAACGCATGAGGAGATAAATACCTAAAAACAGAGTAAACTACAGGCATATGGGGAAAGGGCAGGTAAATGGGACAAAAAGGATTGCTCTTTAAAAGAGTCAGCACCGACATGATGGGCAGAATGCCCTTAATCTGTGCCGTGCATTTCTATGGTCCTAATACAGGAATCCTGATTTCACCAGGTTCTGAGGCTCGAAATTCCACTTGGATTTATTCTGCGACTTCTGTCTTAAAATTTAGGATCGGGTGGAAAATTCTTAAATTCGGCCTTCAATTGAGAGATGGATTTATTTGTTAATGACGTGCAAAAAAAAAAGCTGCCAAATTAAGAATGAATTGAAGAGACAATTCCACAATTACTGTCCACTACAATTTAAATTTATATAGTGCCTTTCAGGAGAATGTCTCAAAGGGCTTGATTCGGTTCTGCACCAACTTAAGTCTTAAGGCAATTTTTAAGGCTTGAAAGACTAGGACTAGGTGGAATTTCGGCCCCTCTATCTGTACCAGACACAGTACGCATTCTAAATTCCCTGCAAATAAAAGGATTTATTTAGGGATTAAGCAACGGGAGATAAGACAGCACACACATGCACGCACAAAAAAAGATTGCTATGTCCTAACATTTCAGACTGACAATGGATTTAGTCTATTCAAACTTACAAAAGAATCGGCTGTCATTATCATTGCAATTACTGAATGACTGCCACTTTATAGCCTATTCAGTGACTAGCGGATTCCACTTAATTGACACACGGCCCTTTCAGGGAAGGACGGATGTATGCAGATGAAACTGCTGCCAAGGGCAACCGTGTTGATCCTCTTATCAGATGATAACATGCCAGGCATGTCAAACAGGGCATCCGTTTTGGTAAACGGTTGCCCTGGCAACATGGGACCAGGGGTGTGGGGAGAGACGCTGCCACGATCCTGGGGCCAGTGTGTGTGTGTGTGTGTGTGTGTGTGTGGGTATCACTTGACAAGAGAGGCGACGGGACGTGGAGAGCAGCGAGGCGGATAGAATGGCCTGATATCGGGACAGACTGGATGAGTGGTACGCTGCTCGGTGCACGGACACTTGGTGTCCGGACACGGACACTTGTGAGGTCTGGTGTAGTTAGGCGCCAGGTTGGCTCAGTCCGTAAAACTGTCTCTCGCCTCCGAGTCAGAGGTTGTGTGTTCAAGCCCCAAGTCAGTAATTTGGAACCCTATCGTCGAAGATGACACCCCGATGCAGCGTTGGGGGAGTTCAGCATTTTCAGAGGCGTCGTCCTTCAGATGAGGCGTTAAACTAAGGTCCTGCCTGTCTAACTGGGAATTAAAGATCCCATAGCCCCATTCAAAATCAGAAGGGAGTTTCACTCTCCCTGTGTCCTGCCCACAATCCCCCAAATAAAATTGGTCATTCACTCTGTGGCTGTCTGTGGGACATTGCTGTGCGCAAATTGGCTGCTGCATTTGTCCAGAAAATGCACAACGCACTCCACTTAATGTTATATTGCGTGAAGCGCTTTCAGATGTCCTCCTGACCTGAAAACTGCACAACAGAAATAGCAGCAACAGAAACCCTTCACAGACACCCTCCTCCTCTACCTCCTCCTCCGAAAGGCATTGAATCAAATGTAAAGATTATTATTATTGTGAATACTGTGAAGATTATATTGCGATGATTTACTATGATGAAAGCACTATTATTATGCTAATGATTATTGTAATTATATTATTAGTTTTACGCAGCTTAAGCTTCAGTGGTATGAGGAGGCAGTACTGCAAACGCGGCATTTCTCCAGGATTTCTCTCCCGCTCCCAGCCCTCCTGCCAGGGAAACAGCAACAGCAGAAACATTGTCTGAAACACGGCAAACATTCACAGTTAAAGGGACACATCATATCTGTGCCGGCTCCCTGAATACTGCAAGCAGTCAATGGGGCTGCAATCCTTTCAAGGTGTCTGCCCTTTCCCCCCCACCACACCCCACCCCACCCCAACTATCTCTGTCTCTGTAAAGCACTTTAAGACGTCCTCTTTTGTGAAAGATGCCGTAAAAGTAATTGTTGAGGTACTTCTCACGCTCTGCATCCCAATGTTGGGGTGGGGGAAAGGGGAGATCATCATCATCAACAACAACAACAACACCACCTTGCATTCTGGAAGGACGAGATCAAATGGGCTGAAAGGTCCTCTCCAGCCCCGGAAGCCCCTCTTGTGAACCGAACCTGTGGCGCCTCCCGTAAGAGGCTCGGCTGATTTCTAAACGGTGACGGGTCCAGCGCTGACCCGAGACGGCATTCCCGCAAAGCCGGGCGGCCGTCTGCCCCTTACCTGAGCGAGAGGGAATAATCGTTGCGACTGGTCTCACTGTTCCGCACGAGGTAACTGCACTCCTTACACAGCATCAGCAGGCTCTCTGCTTCTGCGCGACTCACTGCTCCGTGGTACCATCTGAGAGAGAGAGGGAGATGAATAGTAATAATAATAATAATAATGGGGTGGGATGGGGAGGAGGCCAATTTGGCCAGCATTTATTATTAATCATAATAATAATTTAATAAATCTTGCATTTGATACAGCACCTTATCACATCACTGAGATATCTCAAAGCTCTTCATAGAATATACTGTACAGTGAATAAATAAGACTATATTTTGTTGGTCAACCGCGGAGGCCAATTGCACACAGCAGTGTCCCACAGTATCCCAAAGAGGGATTATTAAAAAATTTTAAACACGGATAATATTAATAATACTCATCCTTGCGTTCGATGTGGCACCTATAAAGTTGAAACACTTCCAAGCGCCTCACAGGAAATTTCGTAGAAAGTGTGTTTGTAAGCAAACAAGGCAGAAAGTTCTGCACGCACAGCAACAAGCCCACAAACAGCCCTGAAATAAGTGAGTGAACGATTTTATCTGGGGAATTGTCGGCCAGGACACCAAGAGAAACTCCCTTCACATTTCGAATAGCGCCACGGAGTCTTTAACATCCACCTGAACAGGCAGACGGGACCTCGGTTTTGACGTCTCATCTGAAGGGTGACACCTCCGACAATGCAGTGCTCCCCTAGTATTGTGCTGGACTGTCAGCCTAGACAGTGGGCTCCAAGTCCACATATTGGGCAACCTTCTGACCCACCAATTGAATGGAGGCTCTTCGACTCATCTGATCTCACCCTTCTAGAAAACTCATCCAACCATCCTCCTATCACAACATCAAACTGTTTCTTAAATAAGTCCACTGTGCTGCCCTCAATCACCCTTTCTGGTAACCCTGTTCCAGTCAGAGTCCTGTAGCTCAGTGTTTAGAGCACTCGCCTCACAAGCGAGGACCTGGGTTCGATTCACAGCATTTGATATAGCGCCTTATCACATCGTTGAGATGTCTCAAAGCGCTTCGTAGAATATACTGTAAAGTGAATAAATAGACTTTGTTGGCCAACTGCGGCAGCCAATTGCACACAGCAGTGTCCCAAAAAGGTGAAACGTTGGGATTGAGTGCCACTCAAACCACAACTGCGTGTGGGACACTGCTATGCCCAATTGGCTGCTATGTTTCACCCACAACAAACACAGTCACTACACTTGACAGTGCATCCTGTGAAGCGCTTTGAGACGTCTCGAAGACGTGATAAGTCGCTCTATCAAATTAGCAAGGATTATTATTATTTATTCTCTGGGTAAAGAAAAACTTCCTGATATTTAAAACTGAAATTTCCCTTTGCAAAAACCCCCAAAAATCCTAAACCCATGTCTTGTGACAGTGTTTTGGTGCATCCCTGGATTTATTGTTCTGGGTTTATTTTTTCAATCCCCATTTAAGATTTATAATAACTCAGATGGGCACCTTTATGAGTCCCCATCTGAGTTATCTGCTGTCAAGGGTGAAGAGCGCTAGCTTGTCTAATCGTTGCTCTTAGTTCATTCCTCTAACACTGGGAATCATCCTTGTTGCTCTCCTCTGCACTGTATGTAGAGCCTGGACAGCCCTCGGAGGTGATTGTGACCAGAAGTGATTACACTACTCAAGATATGGTGTAACAGAGCGCTATCCGGCTCACATACAATGGGGTCCTGCAGGTGACAGACACCAAAAAAAATTCAGGTACGAATCTGCTGAGAAACGGTAAATTTTCGCCTTGTTGTTTGGCGTGAAAGTTGATAGGAGGTGTATCAAGAACAACAACAACAACTTGCACTTATATCGCCCTCTCCACCCAGGGCAGTATCTCAGAGCACATCAGCCTGGCTCACTCTCACCTCTGAGTCTATTCAGACAACGAAGGGACTTTAACAAGCGTTAAACGCACCACGAATATAATTTGCCAAAGGTACAGTCCTCAGTCAGTGCCTCTATCCTCCTCTTCCCGATTTCCTGGGACTTGTTTCACCCAGAGCGGCTAATTAATTGGATTCTGTGATTGTCCGTGATTTAAAGATACAGAAATGTTAATTAATCATCACTGGTTCCTCCTGTCTAACGCGTTAATTAAAGACCATTTCAGGGGACAGGGGAGGGTCAGGTGCAGAGATGCAGAGATGCAGAGCATTTTATCCAGAAAGATTTTATAATGATAACAATAATCCTTTCATTTGATATAGCGTCTTATCACGTCACCGAGAAGTCTCAAAGTATGTCACAGTATATAATGTAAAGTGGATGGACTGTGTATTTTGTGGGTGAAACCCAACAGCCAGTTTGACATGAAATGAATGATCGATTTTATTTGGGGGATTGTTAGACAGGACACTGGGAGAAACCCCCTTTTTTTTTGAATAGTGCCGTGGGATCTTTAAAGTTCACCTGAACAGGCAGACGGGACCTTGGTTTAATGTCTCATCCGAAGGACGGCATCTATGACAATGCAACACCCCCCCAGCCCCGCATTAGGGCGTCAGTTTGGACAATGTGATCCCGACGTGAGGTTTGGACCCACAAACTTCTCACTCAGAGCCGAGAGCGCTACCACTGAGACAGGCTGTTAAACTCAGGTAGGTAACCACACACACACAGTCTGCAGACACGAATGGGGTCCTGACCTTAACCAGCCTTTCTTGGCAAGAACCAGGGAATAATTCTGCATCCATCCAGTTCAAAAACAAATTGAAGCCTATTCTGGTCAATCACCCTGGAGAATGGAGTCATGGCTGACATTCAGGAGCACCAGAGACAGACAGAGATAATTCCTTAGGCTGGAAAAGGGCACAGGTTTTGCTTGCGATTAAACCTCATCGGGAAATAAAGTGGAGATAAGATTGCCGTCACTTTGAGCAGAGGATTATCCAACCACGAGGACCCTGGATGGGAATGATACAGTCAAATGCCCTCCCTGGGTTACTCGTTGCTAAGATATCCAGGCAGGAGGCACATCCCACGCGTGGCTGGGCTAGGTTTTATATGACAACGTAATCAGTTTTCATTTACCCAGCTACACAAGAGTAAGTCTGCTTATGAGAGACTGGGGACACTGAGGATGATTTGATCGCCACCCACAATGGGGTAAACATTTGCTGTGTTGCTGAAGCATTCCTTAACGCTGGGGCTAATTTAAGGAACGTGGCAAATTTTTACTGTCGCCCTTAAAGGGGCTCTGTCGAAAGGCAATTTCGGCTTGCCAGCCACAAATCCTGATGTCCACAAACTGCCAGGCCACCAAAATAATATTCCTCGCACTTGATGTAGTTCCTTTCCTGTCGGGAGGACATCTCAAGTGGCAACTGTGATATGTAATGACTGTATTTTGTTGGTGAATGCAGCAATTTCAAAACTTGCACACAGCAATGTCCCACAAACAAATTTTAGTTGGGGGATTGTTGGCCAGGCTATCAGGAGAAACTCCCTTCACTTTTTGAGTGGCGGAATGGGATCTTTAATGTCCACCTGAATAGGCATCAGAAGCTTGGTTTAACATCTCAGGAACTGCTACGTTTGCTTACAAACATACAGTCACTGCACTTTGCAGCATATTCTGTGAAGCGCTGTGAGGTGTCCTCGTGACATGAAAGGCGCTATACAAAATGCAATGATTATTATTATTATCATGTTGTTCATCTCTTTATCGCCCTCACTTCCTCTCTATCTATCTTCAAATCCTACCTAAAAAACAACCTGTTGAACCGTTCCCATTCCCCTTTCCGACCCCGTCATTGTGATCAATCCTATTTGAAGGGCATTGTCTAAATGCAAGTTGTTGTCGTTATTTTTGTGTAAGCTCCCGCCTAAGATGTCTTGTTTCCAGTCATTTCCCGTAGCCCATCGCTTTGAGACCGAATGAATATCATCCTCATAGCTCTCCTCTGCACTGCCTCATATGTGGCAGAATCATCTTGAGCCAGTGCTGTGCGATAAGGGACAAATTCACTGTTTCATCACTGAAAGGGAGATTTGTTCTGAACCGGTGGATGTGTTTTTTTTAATCATGGAAAAATAAAGAAACTTCTCTGTCGTGCACTGAAATGAATAATTTAGAATGGTGGGCATTAAGCTCCCGGTCCCATTAAGCTTTTCAGGTCAAAGATTTTACAATGTAAGCTTTCATTTGAATGCCCTTCTCTTGATCTGATGACCTTAAGAGACTGCTCCAATACACAGAACCAGAGAAGCACAGCCTGTTGTGTCAGTGCTGCCTCTTTGAAAGAGCAATCCATCCACAAGGCTTTCAACGTAGGTGAATTAGATGACACTTTTGGGACCTTTCACACAACTGCTCCACTTTTAAAGACTTTTTTTGTTACTTTCGTACCCAATATCCATCCAGCTACCACAAGTCAGCGACACCACTGGCTAGTGACACAGTATAGCTCACTCTACACTGGCTATCCGTCCACACTCCCAGGTCAGGGTTAGAGACACAATAAAGCTCCCTCTGAGCCATAGCTTCTCAATTTGCTCCCCCTTCTGTTAGAGTAGGAGACAGTGCAATAAGTTCTGGATAAATGGTTTGGAGTAATGTGTGTGTGTGTAGTGCGGGGGGGGGGGGGGGGGGGGGGGGGGGGGGGGGGATGGTAATAGCAAATGAGCGTACAGGACAATGATTTGGGAGGAAAGGATTAACAGAAAGACCCAGGGGGGAAATCTCTAAATCAGCCTCACAAACACACATTCGAAAAGCGAGTTAAAATGACGTGTCCTGACCAACAATCCCCCAAATAAAATCGTTCGTTCGCTTCATAGCTGTTTGTGGGTCATCATTACTCTGCGCGGAATGGCTGCTGCGTTCGCCCACAAAACACATACGTTACACTTGGCAGTAAATCCTGTGAAGCGCTGAGAGTTGAAGCACGTCTTCCAGGCAGGAAAGGCGCTGGGTTACATGTCAGGATCATTGTTCAGACTTACACTTGCTTCTCCAAGGGTAACGTGGGGTCCACTCTCTCACCCAGCAGCGTGCTGTGCTCTGGAGTCTGCGGCTTAGTGTATTTGGATCCTGCGGTGAGCGGGCTCAGCTGTTTCTGCTGCTTCAGGCGTTCTTTGGTGGGTGGCGATGACCGGTCCCAATCGCAACCCTCAAACTGAACTGTAGGAAGGCACAAGGCCAGGCGTTAGCGCTCGGGGCCGAGAGACACCGGGACGTAAGTCAATGGGAAGCAACTGGAAGAATCCGACTGAATTTAATATTAATAATAATCCTCGCACTTGATATAATGCCACGTCACATCGTTGAGACGTCTCAAAGCACTTCACAGAAGATAACTACATATAGAAATATATTTCGCCCACAAAATATACAGTCAATTCACTTTACAGTCTATTTATTCTGTGAAGCGCTTTGAGATGTCTCAATGATGTGATGAGGCACTGTATTAAATTTAAGGATTGTTATTATTATAAAGTGGATTGACAGCCGCGTCTCACAAACATTCGGGGATTGAGTGACCGATTGTTTTTTGGAGGGAATATTATCCGCAGAAAGCGATCCGCCAAATGACTAACAGCCGGCTTCCTATTTACTGCTAGGTACACAGATTTAATCACTGACTCAGACGAGAGAGCCCACAATTAACCTCTCGGGACAGAGGACATCTGCTCCACAAATTAATGGCGTGTGTTTTAAGTGCAAAAAGACTCTCTGGCTTTCTCTCTTCCTCGAGCACATTTCCAGGGACCTCGCTGACGTTGCCTCAAACACCCCTCCTGGTATCCTATTCCATAGCCCCTCTGTGTAGAGAAATCGGGACCCTCATAGTCCACGGATACACAAGCCTTTCACCCATCAGCCTGGATTAGTTTGAAGTGACCTGTTGACATTCAGGGACTAGATTCACACAAGGAAAATGACTCCCATTGATTCTTCCACACCTCCACCCCCTCAGCCCCGCCTAGGGATACAAGTCACCGTCCTTCCCCCACCAAACCGTTAGATAAATTAAAGACGTTTTGGTTCTTGTGCCAACCTTTGTGGTAACAAAGATCAAAAGGTGAAGCATTTGGGATTTGTGCGAGACGTTACGTTTGATTGTTAACAGAGTTTGTTTTATTTATTCAGTCTATTATGTATTCATATATAATTACTGCCTTTCGAGATATTTCTATATGTAATATACAATGTGAAGAGCCACCAATTAATTCCCTGAGGAACTTTGGACGTGAAGGAGATGCAAAGGGTGGTTGGTGCATTGTGAGGGCAATCCATGCAAGCAAGCTTGTGGGGAATGGGGTTGGGGGGGTCGGGCAGAGTGTGGGGTCTGAGTGGGGGAGGGGTCAGGGGTGGGGATTGTTGGGAGGCGCCAGAGTTGGGTGCGGGTCAGAGTGGGGGAGAGGTCTGGGGGTGGTGAATTAAAGGGGGGGGAATGAAAACAAACAGTCACCTTCATCGCTCAGTGTCTCATCATCTAGTTGTCCTACAGGAGGGGGCCATGGGAGCTCTTTAATCTCCTTAATCTCTACTGCCAATGATGAACATGGGAAGGATTCGAACGAAAGAGGGAGGGAGACAGAAAAACACAAGAGGAGGAGACACAAAGAGAAATACAAGCTGAGCGAGGTCAACATGAAGGCTGTGTAGCTCAGGCCTGAGCTGTGCAGTGGCTTTTGGTAAGGATGTCAACAAGTAAATAGCAACGTGACAAAACAAGATGGTCCCAACCTCAGCTCCCATGACACCCAGGTCTAGACACTCGCCTGCTGCGCTACTGGTTTTGTGGTCTTAATTCCACCTGCAATCGGGCTTTGTTATATTACCTGAGTTGTGTGTGGATGTGTGTGTGTGTGTGTGTGTTGCGGGGAAGGTATAGTTCCCCTCCCTAAGGCCAAAGCCTGAGAGTGTGTCACAGTGTGAGAGTGAGCCAAGGTGAGAGTAAGACACAGTGTGAGAGTGAGACACAGTGTGAGAGTGAGCCAATGTGAGAGTAAGACACAGTGTGAGAGTGAGACACAGTGCGAGAGTGAGTCAGTGTGAGAGTGAGATACATTGTGAGTAAGATACAGTGTGAGGATGAGACACAGTGTGAGTGAGACAAAGTGTGAGAGTGAGTCAGTGTGAGAGTGAGACACAGTGTGAGAGTAAGATACAGTGAGAGTGAGATACAGTGTGAGACACAGTGTGAGAGTGAGACAGAGTGTGAGAGTAAGATACAGTGTGAGAGTGAGTCAGTGTGAGAGTGAGACACAGTATGAGAGAGACACAGTGTAAGAGTGAGACACAGTGTGAGAGAGACAGTGTGAGAGTGAGACACAGTGTGAGAGTGAGACACAGTGTGAGAGTGAGACACAGTGTGAGAGTGAGTGGGAGGGGGCCGCTTGCCCACTCTCTTGCCTGACAAGCAGCAAGTGGCGAAACAAATCATGTGAAAAAACATCTGTACAAATAAAACAAGATTGCACGCCGTGGAGTGAAGGCTGCAAATAATCCCTCAGCCCAGAGAAGGGTTTAGCCGAAAAGGGGATAACTCTTCCCACTCACACGAAGCATTAATTTAGTTTGGTGTGTGCCATGAGCAGTCACCGGGAAGGTTCGAGTCAGTTTGAGTCACTGTCAGCTCGATGTGGCTGGCGCAAGACTCCTGCTGAACAGTTAATCCTTCAATTAAAGAGACAGCGGCTGAGCAAGTGGAGTGTCTGTTAAATTGATGATAGTCCTGGCGATCAAGGGTGAAAGTGAAGGTGAACTCCATTAATCATTCATCGCATCTTCCGATAGTCTGAGGTGGGATTCACACATTATTGCTGTTCAATCACCCAGAGGCTGAGAGGTTTTCAATTCAACGCTTTTCAAATCAATATTTTTCTGTGTGTTTTATTGTTTCGTAAACAAGGGTTGATGGCACTCCCCAAGCAGTGGACAATAGATTCGTTAACTTTCCTTACAATCCTTAATAATAATAATAATCATAATAAAAATAAAATAAGCCGTGCATTTGATAAAGGGCCTTGTCGTGTTGTCGAGGCGTCTCAAAGCAATTTGCAGGGTTTTACTGCAAAGTGTAGTGACCTTGGCAAATGTTCTCCCAGCACTGGATTGCAGTGTCAGTTGAAATAATAATACTATAATGATCATTGCATTTGATATAGCACCTCGTCACGTCCTTCGAGACATCTCAAAGCAGTTCACATCAACTCTATATTTTGTGGGCGAAACGCGGCAGCCAATTGAGCATAGCAGCGTCCCACAAACAGTCACGGACTGAGTGACCACGTTTTTTTTAGAATTAGCTTAGACTATATGAGTTCAAATTCCTGCCGTGGAGATTTGAGCCCACAGCCTTCTGACTCGGAGGCGAGAGCGCTATCGACTGAGCCAGACTGACATCTCATTGCCTCAAATAGCTCACGGCTTGCTGGTGCAAATAGCCAGCAAGCCGTGAGCTAATAGTTTGTCTCAAAATAAAGTCATCGCAATCTCACAGCGATCGCTATGAAGCCCGTTGAGATGCTTGGTAACGATAAGGTCTCATAAAAATGCAAGTTCTTTCTTTATAGAGTAAACATCTCCCACTGTGAAAACTCACCATGGTGGGAATATCATTCCACAAAGCCGAAACAATTTACAACGTGTGCATGAATCCTTATCAGACTTGTACTGCTGGTGCTCCAGAACTGAAGTCAGTAACCTGCCACTGACAATGGTTTCACACTGAGTAACAAGTACTCTGTCTTGGCACAAGACAAAGTGGGTCTGAACCATACAGAAACTCCTGGTGCTATGGAATTTGTTCTGTTTATATTCTAACATGTACTTCCATCACAAGAGCAATAGACAAACTTACTGCTATCCCCCTCAACCCGTGACAGGCTGAATCCCACCTGAAGTGACACATACATACACACTCACATATACACACACACACATACATACACACATACTCACACACCACACACACGAGCATACATATATATATACACACGCACACACACACACAATGCACACATACTCACACCACACATAAACATGCATACATACACACACACATATATATTCACTCACACAGTCTGGATTGAAGCTTAATCCCCACTCACTGCCGAAGCTCACGTATTGAACAATGGCCACTTCGATAGGGAACCAGAGGGCAAACAACACCCATGGAATGGCACCCAAACAAGATAAGTGGAGACTGGGAGAGAGACTGGGGGAGAGAGGGAAAGAGAGAGACTGGTGGAGAGAGACCGGGAGAGAGTGGGTACTATTCTCCACACACCTACATGCGTCGTTAAAGATATGCACAGAAACCGAAGAGACAGATCTACATTTCTTCCAATCCAAATATTATGAACCATATTAATAATAACTCTTACATTAGATACAGCGCCTTTCGTGTCAAAGCACTTCACGGAACATGCTGTAAAGTGTATTAGTGGCTGTATGTGGCAGACAATTTGTGCACAGAAATGTCCTCCAAACAGCTGTGAAATAAAGGTTTTATCTGGGGGAGGGGCTGTTGGTCTGAACACCAGGAGAAAGTCCCTTCTCTCTTTTTTTAACGCCCACCAGAACGGACTGATGAGAACTCGGTTTAACGTCTCACCCAAAGCACGGCACCTCAGAACATGCCTCTTCAATCGCCCTGTCGTCTGCAAAATATTACTGTCAATTCACTTTACAGTATATTCTGTGAAGCGCTTTGAGACGTCTCAACGACGTGATAAGGCGCTATATCAAATGCAAGTATTATTCTTATTATCCAGCATTGTGTAAGAGTGTCAGCCAAGACTGTGAATTCAAAGTCCTGACATGACGCTTGAATTATTGTTATAATATTACGTACAGTATTCACTGAGCCATCTGATCTCTGGACTGTAGAGAATCTCTCTCTCACACTATAAAGATATATATATATATATATTGCACGACAATGGCATTTTGAAGCTGATTGCTCACAGTGATGAGCACACAGGGAACTTGTTTGGAAGCCTTTGTCTTTCTTCAGTGGAGAGTTTCCAGTGAATGGCTTTAACACCGATGGAGGGGTAGGGTGTGAGGGTGGGCGGTAGAGAGAGATGGTACTTTTGGGCTTAAAGTAATGCTCTTTCACGTTTCACTAATGCTCGATGTTGACATGGAGTCCTGTAGCTCAGTAATTA